CCTTTTCCTGGTCGAGTCCTGCCTGGTTGGAGCCCCACCACTGGCACCCCAGCAGTTGTGCTCTTCCCATTGCTGCCATTCTTGCGGCAGCCTTACAAAGCCAGTAGTGAATACAAGTCCTGAGATATATTTAGCTAATATACATACAAGTGAGTAATGCTGCTGTTCACTAATGCACGAAGAGCTTTTGTCCCAGGGCATGGAGTGGCTTTGCAAGAGGCAAATTGCAGGAAGAAAAGCTTTGGTTTTAGGAGTGTGTTTAGTGCCCATAAAGCTCAATGGAGAGAATTGTGCTGACTTCACTGGGGGTAAGATTATGCTTGCGCTGTGGATATTTTCAGTAGGAATAGTTAAAAGAAATAATGTGGGCCCTGTTCTTTTGGGTTCAGTTAAAGGCTTCTTGAATCACAATGAGGAAAATAAGGCTTAAACCCTTGTCAAACTGCCAACCTAGGCTTAAGTTGGAAGTGCCATGGTTTAACTGGAAAAGGTAAGAATTAACCCTTAACAGCAGGAGCACACCTCCACTGCCGTGGCCTGCAGTGTGGTCCAGGACAGCATCGTGTTATTCTGCAATGGGTGTGTTAGTATGGGTCATTAACATCCATGTGCTGTCTAATGAAGTGATGAGAGATGATGGATCTGCCGAGGCATGGAATAAACCTTTATAAGAACAGTTTTGCCCTCAAAATCTGTCTGATCCCTTTCAACCAAGCTGTGAGTGTCAGTAATGCATCCGCTCCATCTCCCAGATCTTGTTTGGCTGCAAGCAAGTAGAAAAGGGGGTTAGCAGCAGTGATCCATTTGGGTGGTGTGGGGTGAAGAAAGGAAGAGACTTTAAATGCTGTTTGCTAGAAATACCTGAGGTGGATATGTTAGCTGTGTGTTCTGGGGAAAATCTGCTCTCTGATTTGATTTGGCTCCTGATGCACACCTGGAGGTGGTGGTTTCTGCTGTAATAGTCAGTCAGTTACAATAAGGCCAGGTTGGACAGGGCTTGGGGCAACCTGCTGTAGTAGAAGGTGTCCTTGCCCATGGCAGGGGGTTGGAACTGGGTGAGCTTTAAGTTCCTTTCCATGATTCTGTTGTTCTGTAATGGGGAATTTTCTAATTCCCCATTAGAAATAATAATAGTATTAGAAATAATAATAATATTCTATTCTAATTTCCCATTCTTTTCTTCAGGTGCTGAAGCAGCAGTATAAAAATGCTGATTCAGGCATGCCAGGTGATGGGCTTGTGTATTATAACCGTTCCCATTTCAGCCAGTGTGGCTGTAACCATTCCCACTGTGGCTAGAGCTGCCGTAGGAGCTGGCCTCCCTGAGCTGCCATTGCCTAGGAGCAGAGAAGAGGGAAAACATCCCCGGGTTGATGCCAGCCCTGGTCCCAGGCTGCTCACATGGAGGCTTTTTGCTGGGCTGGGAAGTGATACCAGTGCTGGAGCTGTCCCTGCCACCCTCCTTCTGCCCTGCTCATGGTGATGCTCAGCCATTCCTGAGGTGGGGCTCAGCAGCGTGGCTGTGGGACCAGCAAGCTGGAGGTGGGTACATGGAGCCGCTGCGCAGGGGAAGGGAGCCTCAGGCACCCAGCCCTCCCCTGAGGTTCCCTTCATCAGACATGCAAATCAGTGTCTGCTCGTTAGTTATGCAAATCAGAGCAGAGAATCACTTGCAAAAGGATCTTCAGGTTTCTGAACCTTTCACTCGTCTGCTTTCATCCTCCTTTGTCCTTGTACCGTCCTGGTTGCAGTTGAGACCAAGGTCACTTGTGTTTGTAAGCGATGGTAAAACACACCGAAATGATCTTAAACAGGGACAGATGTTCTCCAAATGCATGACTTGCTGGTCAGGCCTCCTTGGCTGCCATCAGAAACTTCACAGAAAACATCACTTGCCTCCTTCCCATCTTCAGCATTCATTGGTCTGCAATAAGATTTACCCAAACTCAATCATAAAAAGCACAGAACATCCGTAGGTGGGTACCAGGTTCTTCATGGTTCACCTTTAGGTGTTATTCCAGCCCAGGTTGTGTTCAATTCAGGCTGAAAGCTTGTACTGCATCATGACATTAAACTCAATCCACAGAGTCTATTTGTATTCCAAATCCATCCATGCTCTTTATGAGCATGAAAAACTAGAAAGCATAAATATTTATTCCTCAAAGGTCAAGATTGCCTTAAATCATGCAAGCTTGTTTGGTGAGCATCAGATGTAATTAAACTGAGCAGTTGAACTCAATCTGCAGGTATGAAATAATGTGTATATATATATGTATGTATATGCTTGGCTTCAGTATGGACAGAAGGTGTGAGCTAATTGCTTCCATCACACCAAAAGATGCACTGATAATTTTGTTGCTCCTGCTTGTGATAATAAATCAACATAAAGAAGATCTGAAATTGTATAATAGCAAGTCACGTTTGAACATGGAGCAATGCACTGTGGTAACAAAATGAGCAGAGCTCATCTCATGTGTCCAACTAGAGGGACATAATTAAGCACATTATGCAAATTGTTCCAATTTTGGGTGTAGAGAATTGACCCTAATTGCCTGTGTACCAAAATCCACGTGCACACCTTAATGTGAGCCTCCAGCAGCCTGGGGTCCCTATAAACTTCAGCATCGGGCTGTGAACCTCCAAGTGTCTGCGTGTGTCCCACATGTTCTTCAGGTGCTGTGTGGCCACAGAGAGCTTCAGCAGCAGGAGGGGACCAGGGCAGGGGTTCACATCTGGAAGCATGGGCATTAAAGGGCAAACTGGAGATTCCTGGTCGTGCTCATCTCCTGTATGGTTTGGATTTGTTGCTGTCCTTATGATCTTTAATACCTTAAGATGATGACCATCTTTAAGGTGATGACTGCCATCATTAAGATGGTCATTTTGGATATATTCAGAATCATTGTGTAGCCCTTTCCAAGGGTATTATTGTAATGCAAGGCGTTCACATGCACTTACCTCACTCAAGACTGATTTTAATCAGACTCTGAAAGCAATAGGGTGAAAGTGTCCTTTTTGTTGTCATCAACTTTACAAAATCACAGAATGGTTTGGGTTGGAAAGGACCTTAAATGTCATCTAGCTTCAACCCCCAGTTAATTTGAGAAGCCAAAGAAAACTCAACAACACTTGCTTTATGAAATATTACTCATGGAATTAATTGTGTAGTAACATGACCTAAGTTACAGATGGGAATCTTAGCTTAAGACATGGTTTCCAAGGATATGGAAATCAGCATTTCAGTCTGTTCATGTGGGCATCCTGCTGGGCATCTCCATAAAGCTGGAGGCGCTGTTGTGAGTCTGCTGTCATGTGGGTTGCTCCATATAATTAGAGGCACCTTAGACTTTGGTGTAGGAACTGATGGCTCCTCAGCGTTTCTTTATATCCAGAGAGCTCATCAAAGGTAATAGTTTTGCCAGGGGCTTTGACAGGAGCATTAAAAAGAAGCTGTCATTGCCTGAGGTCTGAACAGCAGCTTGGGCAGGAGAATGGCTCACTGCCTCGTTAGAGATGGCCAAGTTACGAGTGCCTCTCGTGATGTTACTGTGCTGCAGGTAGCACAACAAACATCACACCGACCTGTTCCTCTTCTCTACATGCTTCCTTTGTCATTCTTTCTTCAAAGCAAGTATGGATTAAGCTTAGTACTTTGCAGTGTATTTTCTTTATCGTGCTCCTGATCGTGTCTTGCAGGAATTTCTCTTATCCTGATGACGGCAGGGAAAAAAAAAGAGAAATAATCATATCTTTCTTTCCCTTTTCTGGTGTTTTCCAGCAGCTGCTTGTAGCTCACCTCCCCCATGCCCCCAGGCAGCCCATGCTGCTGCTCTTGTAGGGTCATTGTCAGCAGGAGGTTCTGCTGTCCCAGGGAGGAGGCCACCAGAAGAACAGCATGGGGCTGCTTTGTTGGGACAGGCAGTGCATCACAGAGGTTTTGCTGTTGCTGTCTCCTCTCTCTCCCTGCTTCGTCACTGTTAACTGTCTGGGAGCATCCTTTGGTGCCTGTTTCACTTGTTCTAGACTGTCATCGGTCTGTGGAGGGTTCCCACTCACCAGGTCAGACTGGGCATCAGGCCCGGGCATACGTGTACATGTCAAGGGTAAAGAAAATCTGTGCTTTATGTATGTGTTTGTACAGGTCCAAAGCCCAGGTCCAGGTTTCCTGTGGCCCCTTTAGGCACTGAGAGTTGCTCTAAGGTCTCTCTGGAGCCTTCTCTTCTCCAGGCTGAGCAAGCCCAGCTCTCTCTTGCCAGCTCAGTTTTCAGATGGTGGCTTGTACACAGCGTATGAAGACTGCTAATGGGGCACTGGAATGTCCATCTGAAATGAAATTATGTGTGCTATGGGTCGTTCAGGTTCTGAGACATGGTTTCGTGAGCAGTTAATGGGAAGCTGATGCTCAAGGTTTCACCTCAAATTTGCTGCTAGCCACAAATTCCCAAGGATTAAGTAGCTTGGTTTAATTTGCACAGCTCTAGCAGCAGACCCGGATTACTGATTCAACAGGAATGACATATAGCAGGAATGTAGTGATTTTCTGTTTTGTGCATTGTCTGAGCAGACTGTGATTCCCAGGGATAAAGCTGCTTGTTTATACTATCAGCAAAATGATTTTCAATGGGTAGAGTGGAACACAAAGAGTTTGTGGTGAATTAACAGTAGAACTGGAGGTCTGTTACTTAACCTTAAATAAGAAAACTAATCTTGCTGTAACCTGTTCTGAAGGCATTCATATATCCTTGAAGTTCTTATCTTAAGGCCATGTTTTATTAATTTAAGATTTCCACCAATGCTTATTTCGTGTGAATTGGTGGACATCGTGGCCCGAGTAGACCAGTAATTCATGTAACACAGCCCTCCTGTTTTACTGTGCAGACAGGCATAGGGAGAAATGGTTAGCAGGAGGTTAAAAGAGCATCTGTGGAAAAAGGGAGCTTTTTAAAGGCATTTTTGTTCACTGGAAAAAACCCAAATGTTTCCTTGTGGTTTGAATGCAGGTTCCGCCTCCAGAATGGATGCTCACGTGGGTCCCTTGATGCCAGCGCAAGTCACCCGTGTAACGGCTTTGTCTGCACCGACGGTGACGTTCATGGCAACCAATTTGATGGATCAGGCCTTAGCAGGTGTGTTTATGGTTCTATACACTGATTATATTACTGAAGCATATGTTGTGTATTTGCATACTTCCAAACCGTCTTTCCATACTGCATAGAAATGGGGGAACCTTAAAAAATCAGCTCAAATTTTATGACATTTGCTTTAGCTCATTACGAGTGTGTTCAGAGGGGTTTGGATCCTGTGTGCTTGGTCTGGCAGTTGCTTTGCATTTGATGATACAAAAGGCAAGTTTCCGAAATGTCCTTGGGCTTTTCATGTCCCGTGCCAGTGGTATTCACAAGCATTACAGTGATAATGTGGTTATCTTTTGGATAGTTGCTCCATGAAGGCTCGTTGGCTGGAGCCTCGGAGGATGCTTTGTGCTGTACTGTGTGATAAAGCTGCTTCATTTACTGTCATGTAAATGTGTGTGTGCTATTGTGAGAGAAGGGGCAGTGCTGTTCCCAAAGGCTGGAGGAAGTCCTGTGGCTTTGTTCAGATTCACATATGTGCATTGGAAATCATAATCAAAATCAGATTTTGATAGGAAATTGGGAACATCATTGATCAGCCCTGCAGTCCTGGTCCAGCTCTGGGGCAGCAGCACCAGAGGGACGTGGAGCTGTTGGAGCAAGGCCAGAGGAGGCCATGGAGATGCTGCGAGGGCTGGAGCAGCTCTGCTCTGGAGCCAGGCTGAGAGAGCTGGGCTGGGGCAGCCTGGAGAAGAGAAGGCTCCTGAAGGGGAGACCTGAGAGCAGCTCCAGTGCCTGAAGGGGCTGCAGGGAACCTGGAGAGGGGCTTGGGACAAGGGATGTAGGGACAGGCCAAGGGGAATGGCTTTAACCTGCCAGAGGGGAGACTGAGCTGAGCTCTTAGGCAGAAGCTCTTCCCTGGGAGGGTGCTGAGGCGCTGGCACAGGGTGCCCAGAGAAGGTGGGTACCAGTTCAGGTATCATTGATCTGGTGCTTCACACCCAGGGATTAGCACAGTTGTGGAGGTGTTGAAGAGTCAGAAATTAATGTGCTTGGTCTGTCCTTGTTCATGGGGATGGAGTTGGTGTAGATGCTCTCACCTGTCCGGTTAAGCTGTTTCCTTCATGGATTCCCCAGGCTCACTGCCTCTACCCACAGCTAAAATGAAGGCTTCTTAAAGCTCTTCGTGCTCAGCTCTGCTGGGCAAATCCTTAAGTGGAGCTGGAGGGTCCCTCTGAAGCGGGTCCAGCTGCTGCTCAATGAGATCCTGTCTGAATCATGTTGCTGAGTATTCCAGCTCTATCTAGAAATCGCTGGAAATTTTACGACACAGACACCTTAAAACTGCAGAAACGCTCATGCACGTCTCTTGACACACTTCAGCTTGAAGTTTCTTGTCTGGTTTGGTTTGCTTCTGGTAAACACCTACCTCCTTTATTGCCCGTAGTTATTGTGTTCCAAGAATTGCATACTTCTCCTTAAAGTCCCCAAGAGCTGTACTGACTTGCCTGCTTGTCAGAAGCCAGTGAGATGGAGGAGATACTGAACCTCTTCAAAGAATGCAGGGATGAAGATGCATGCAAGGGTCAGGCTGCTCTGCAGCTTGTTGAGAACTGAAATCCTGGTTTCTCGTGTATTCCACATGGAATATACTTTATAAACTCCTTGCTGGCAGTCTTGAAAACACAAACGCTCCTGCTGTTATCCGGCATGCTGAATAAGGATGTGTCTGTAGAAAGCCTTTTGATGATTAGGTGACATCTAATGACAAGGCCAGTGTGACATTTGATCCATAGATTGCCTAAGCCACGTGGCCCCATGCTGTTGGGAGGCCATCACTTTGGAAGAGCAATCGGTATGGTTTTATATGCATACAAGTAATGTAAATAAGACAAACATTACATTTTTGTTTCCAACTTTCTCTGGAAAAATACAAAAGATCTTTTTTTGTTCTCCTTTTGTCACCTTTGCTTTGCTGCCGAATGCATGTCAGAGAACAGTGGTACTTTCACTCAACCACGATGGCCTTTGCTTTAGCGTTTCGGAGGAGATCACACTCTTCTTCTCCAGGTTGCTGCAGACTGTCCTTATCTCCAGTGGAACAACAATCAAAGCAGGAGTCATAATTGACAGCATGTGACACTCATACAGGTGTTTTCACACCTTTCACAGCCTCTAAGTGCCACAGAAAAGCAAATGTGCACTTGAAGCTGTGGCTGCCCCATCCCTGGCAGTGCTCAAGGCCAGGTTGGACACAGGGGCTTGGAGCAAGCTGCTCTAGTGGAAGGGGTCCCTGCCTGTGGCAGGGGTTGGAGCTGGAGGAGCTTTGAGGTCCCTTCAACCCAAACCATTCTAAGATTCTATAGTCATCTATGTGTGCACTTTAAGTAAAATCCCATCAATGGAAACATTTAGAATCAAAATTTTAAACTAATGGAGGTTTGGCTTCCAAATACTTTTGCGAAGTATTTGGTTTAATCTCTTGTCCGTAGCTTCCTGTGGCATGAATCAATCTTCCCTCTTTCCTCTCCCTAATTCTGCTTTTAATGAGATGTTTATGGTCACACGCCTACACCCTCTGTGATATACCCAAGACAGTTTTGCTACTTCACCTTTATTTTTCATACTGTGAATTATTCATGGCTCTCTACCTGCTGTGGATCCTCAGAGTAGTGTCTTTAATCAGATATCTTTATCCTCCCATCTCCAGCACATCCTTCAGCGGCGTTATAGCGAGCGCAGGAGCACATCATCAGTAATTGTACTGCTGAGTTTGGGGGCAAAAAAAGGTGTGTGATTATGTTGGAAACGTGTCAGGGTAGCTTAATTGTCAGGTTGTGGGATTGTATATGTACAGAAGTTAAAGGGGGGGGGGGACGACACACGGGACGAGTTTCATTAATGAGAAAAGAGTGATCCTGAGCAAAGACATGCACTGGTTGCTGCTGGAGGGTAAACACGTCTTGCTGGCTGGCTGTTCCTTCTGTGTTCAGAGAAGTCTCTAAGGATCTGGGGTGGGGGGGAGTATGGGGATGCTGCGAGGGCTGGAGCAGCTCTGCTCTGGAGCCAGGCTGAGAGAGCTGGGCTGGGGCAGCCTGGAGAAGAGAAGGCTCCTGAAGGGGAGACCTGAGAGCAGCTCCAGTGCCTGAAGGGGCTGCAGGAAACCTGGAGAGGGGCTTGGGACAAGGGATGGAGGGACAGGCCAAGGGGAATGGCTTTAACCTGCCAGAGGGGAGACTGAGATGAGCTCTTAGGCAGAAGCTCTTCCCTGTGAGGGTGCTGAGGCGCTGGCACAGGGTGCCCAGAGAAGCTGTGGCTGCCCCATCCCTGGCAGTGTTCAAGGCCAGGTTGGACACAGGGGCTTGGAGCAAGCTGCTCTAGTGGAAGGGGTCCCTGCCCGTGGCAGGGGTTGGAGCTGGAGGAGCTTTGAGGTCCCTTCCAACCCAAACCAGGCTGGGAGTCTGCGATCTAAGGAAGTTCTGCCAGTGTTCTGCTTCATGCCCTCCTCTGGAAGCAGAGTGGGGCTGTGGCTCAGCAGCACGGGCTCTCTGCCTCCCTCCTTGCAGTTGCAGGTCTGACACCTCGCTTTTCAGAAGCTTGGTGTCCCTCCATAGCAAAGTGAGCCTGAGCTGAGGTGTGCTCCTGCCCTGGCATGTGTTCCCTGCTCCATGGGCACCAAGCGCCTCTGAGCTCGAGGGTAGAATACAAGGTCAAGTTATTTTTTCTTTACATGACATGGAAACCAGCCTCAATGTTCAACCATGGATATAAAGATAAACGACTCCTGACGTGCACAGTGACTTTCAGGACTCTCTGTTATTTTATGGGTCTTTTATTTCCATCTTACTTCCTATGTGCTGACTGTCCAGAATGTTGTGGAGGTATATTGCACATGCGAATGCCTGATGCACTGCGTGCTGCAGAAATTCACTGACGTGCTGTGCTGCGGGTGCTGCATTTCAAGCAAAACCTACAGCACCCAGGCTCCTGCCTGGGGCTTCTGCTTTCCGGTTTGGATGCAGTGAGGGGCTTTCTAAAGGGGGAAGGAAAAGAGGTTGACTTTGGCCTTTGCAGTACAGTGTTTCCATGCTGAAGATGTGTAAGGTTCAAAGGGGAGTGAGAATGGCTGCAGCGTGCGAGAGCCATGTCCCTGCTCCATGCTTCAACCCAATCTTCATTTATGAAAGGGCAGGGGAAGAGCAGCAGTAATAAAAGTACTTACCTCGTATGTGGTACCTTCCTTTGCACCAAGCTGGAGCTCCCAGCGCTGTGCCAAGGCTGCTTTAGGTTCTCTCTCCTATTTCATTTCCTCAGCATCAGCTGCGGGGAAGCCCTCTGCTGAATTTCACATGTGCAAAGGTTTGTTTAAGTCTGCCAACTGACAGCTCTGTGTTTGCATTAACGCTTCCAAAGCCAGGCAGTGAGTTGTCGTGCTCCTCATCCATGTGTGTGTGCGTGCATCTACATGAATGAAGCATCGTGACTCCTTAAACCAATGTGATAATGAAGACTACAAAGGAAGCAAAATTCTAATAATAAGAAAAAGCTTTTTTTTTGTCCTTGTGAAATAGAAGGAGTAAGGGGGGGGGGTTGGTGGGATTTCCCTGCAAATCAAAACTAAAATCCCAGCTTTGTTAGGCATCCTTTCCCAAGTGCTGCTGCTCCGTGTCCGAGTGACAGAATCCAAGCAGCTTTGGTCTGTGTTTCTTTCAGCAGCAGCTGACAGGCCTCCCAGACCTGTTGCTCCAGGGATTGTTCCATGACAGGAGCAGGAAATGCTGAGGCATACCATGCCACTCAGCAGCGTTGCCCTGAAAGGCTCCTAGCACGTGGACAGCCATGGTGCCTGTGCCAAATGTGCGCAAGCAGAACGTGCCTGGCACCAGATGTGCGCCTGCAAAGGGATCCCAACCTTGGGCTTTAAACTGCTACAAAATCAATGAGTTGCAAAGGAACCTTTGCTGTGGAGGGGCATCTGGAAAGGTTCCTTTAATCCCCTACACATGTATTTCGGTTCAAAGCCCTCGTCGGAAAGGAGGTGGCTGTACAGGACCCGTTCAGCAGCCATGCTGAGGGCTGGCTCGTTGCACACAGTGGGAGTGGAGAACAAGCCACCAAGGGTGTCCCTGGGCAAGAGCAGTTGGAATGACAGGAAAACACAGGGCGAGATAACGAAATACCTCCGTGACATAGCCCAGAAACTGCACTCTGTCTTCCTTCTGCTGTGCGTTAGCAACGGAGAATGTATTAGCACAGTTTAATTGAAGCGAGGTTCCCTAATTGTGGCTCCAGGTCGCTCCGAGCAGTGCATGCAGGAAGCATCCTTGGTCCTTGGCTCTCCTGCTCCGTGGAGGTGGGTGCTCGGGGGCTGGCTGAAGCCAGTGTGACACTACCACGTTCAAAGACCCATGGGCCCCACATCACTTTGATTCCCGATTACCAGATGTCGAGGGAAGAAAGATAAATTTAGAGACCCTTTTGATATGTATTAGCAGCTCCCTATGCCTTGCTCCTTTAATGTGGAAATTAATTGCTATGATTTGTAAAGCTTCTTTTTCGCTGCCCATAAAAATTAAGTCCTCATCTGTGAAAAACGACATTTGTTTAAATATTTATCATTATGATATATTCCATGGTGAAGCAAATGGCTCAGGCTCCACCTTTCTCTCAGTATAGCCCCTGTTACATGTCACCTATGCTGTAGTCTGATTTTGAAATGAAATGAATAGTATTTTGATGTGTGAATCTGCTATGTAACATGCAGTCCTATAGAAGCCCTGCAACAGGGTTCTGCTTTGTTCCTGGGTCAGGGAAAGCAGGATGAAAATCTCAGAGCAATAAACCGCTCACTCTGAAGAGTATGAATGTGTCCCATTAAAACACAGGATGGTATTTAGACAGGCAATATGGTCCTCAGCACACATGTGTTACACACACGTATGTGTGTCAATAAGTCATGGCAGGGGGGTTGGAACTTGATGATCTTAAGGTCCTTCCCAACCCTAACTATTCTATGATTCTAAGTGAGTGAGGAGGAAGAGGGGAAGGCAACAGGGAGGGGCTGGGTTTAATTCACCAGCTGTGGCTCATTGGGAATGTGTTGCCCATTAAACAGAAATCCTTTTCCCTCACAGATAATGGCAAAGAATCGAGTCGATCCTCCTGCCCACCCGCCTTGATTCTGCACACGGAGAGGAAGAGCACCCCTGGGCACAGCGCTGGTGAAAAGGTCTGCAGGGTTGGGGGGCCTCTGTAAACCTCTTTAAGCTATGGAACTGCACAAATCCAAGTCAGGATAAGGCAGCGTCCTCTGGCTGGAGCTGTGCTGCTGATACAGGATGGTTTCCTAGGGTTGATTTTAAAGAGCTATCTATCTAATTTATCTTGGTTTATAGGAGCTCTGTCACTGTAGCGTCAGGGTATCGGAGGAGGGATGCTCACAGCTGGGTTTGATGCTGACAGCTGGGTTTTCTCCCCATACTGGAGGAGAAGTGAGTCTAGGGGTTGGGGTGTGTGTGTGTGTGTGCATATGTGGAGCTGTGACACAGCCCACGAAGCAATTCATGTGCTGAGAAGCTGTGATCGCATCACAGTGTCTGTGATTTGCTGTCTCACTGCAGTGGCAGCGACCTGTGGAGGTGGCTCAGCCCCTGCCCGGGGCAGGATCATCCCCTCGGTGGGTGTTGTGCTGCTTATTGCAGTATCAGCCCCAGGGGCAAGAAAGAATTTATTCCTGCCCCCCTTTTCATGTTACTGATTTGAATTGCTGTGCACTTCCATAGCCTCCTTTACAGGTAATTACATGGTCCTCGAATAAAACCTCTTCATTAAAGGGGGCCTACAAGAAACCTGGAGAGGGGCTTGGGACAAGGGCCTGTAGGGACAGGCCAAGGGGAATGGCTTTAACCTGCCCGAGGGGAGACTGAGCTGAGCTCTTAGGCAGAAGCTCTTCCCTGTGAGGGTGCTGAGGCGCTGGCACAGGGTGCCCAGAGAAGCTGTGGCTGCCCCATCCCTGGCAGTGTTCAAGGCCAGGTTGGACACAGGGGCTTGGAGCAAGCTGCTCTAGTGTAAGGGGTCCCTGCCCGTGGCAGGGGTTGGAGCTGGAGGAGATTTAAGGTCCCTTCAACCCAAACCAGGTTGGGATCCTGTTCTATGATCTTTGTATTTTGATACTGCACTGAGCCACAGCACTGCCTTCCTCCCAGACCTCCCCTTGCAGTTCATTTCCATAAGCTTTTACAATAAATTGCTGTTCTTCAGCAGGTAAAACAGCACCTGTACTTGCTGGTTGCACCATGCAACCTCCTGCATTGCCTGTTGCTCCATCCAAACAGCCTGGCCCTGTCACGGGGGGATTCCTGCATCTCGGGCTGCAGTATGCAATCATATCCACTCTCCCCTGTGAGCTGTTGGCGTGGATAAAAGCGTGTCTGCTGGTTTTTCATTTCTATTGCTTTACGTCAGGCGACGTTTTGTGATTCCCCGTTTCTGGTCTATTCCCAAGGTAGCTGGTTGTTCATAAAGCCCCTTGTGCAATAATGGCCATGAGGTTGAACCACTTCAAGTTAAAGGGAGTGATTTGTGTAGCAATAGCAGCCTTCTGCATCGGCTTCATTTGCTGACTAATCTCTATCTGTCTTTCAAGGAGCATTCATTTAAACTAGTAAATGAGGATGACAGCTCATCCAGTGGCAACAGGCCCGTGGCATCCACTCCAGTGCCGGGATCACCATGGTAAGCAATTGCTAAAAGCCATTCAGCAGTGCTGTTTCCGTTGCCAGAAATGCATTAGTGCTCTGTTACATGGGGAAGACACACTGCCCTGGATGTTAAGTAGCAATGCTGGGGTCCTGTCCAAGCTTCTACTAGAGCTTCTAATTAATCTCATGATCCTGGTTCCTGACCATGTTCCCATTCAGGTAACTACATACTGGGTAACTACATCTCATAGTAATGAGTTCTACTCTGTGGCTGGTCTAGAATCCCAGCCTGGTTTGTGCTGAAGGGACCTCAAAGCTCCTCCAGCTCCAACCCCTGCCACGAGCAGGGACCCCTTCCACTAGAGCAGCTTGCTCCAAGCCCCTGTGTCCAACCTGGCCTTGAGCACTGCCAGGGATGGGGCAACCACAGCTTCTCTGGGCACCCTGTGCCAGCGCCTCAGCACCCTCACAGGGAAGAGCTTCTGCCTAAGAGCTCATCTCAGTCTCCCCTCTGGCAGGTTAAAGCCATTCCCCTTGGCCTGTCTGTGGGATCTTTGGCACTCTATGTGTATATCATCCATTATTTGTTATTATTATATTGTGCCATTTTACAGACCGCTATTGTAAGCACAGTCCAACATCCTACTTCGTCTCAACATTGTAAATACATTATTTACATCAGTCGTTTCTCTTCCTGACAATTGCTGCTCTGTAGTGTAGTGCAGAGGAGCTGCTTGAGTCCAGCGCTGTCATAAGTGGGTTATGGTTCCTCCTTTCTTACAGGGAAGAGCAGTAGCTGATGGTACTCACAGTGGGAGCTAACAGCACCCCCTCCTACAGCAGCATCTGCTTGGTGTGGGATGGGAATCCAGGACCTCCACTCAAGTGCACTCCTCTCAGATCTAAGCTTGTGATATTTCAGTCTCTTAAGGAGAAACCCAGGATTTCTCGGTTTCCAGAGGACTGTTTAGTGTGTAGGGACCATTGGTTGAGGTGACAACTCCTGCGAGAAGAAGCTAGACCATAATATTTAATGGCAGAAAAGTTTTCAGGCATCTCAGCAAACCTTACTCACCTGATGGAATCAAAACCCCACTAACATCATTATCTTGTGCCCTTACTCATTCGTAAACACAGTTTACTAAAGGGGAACATGATCATAACAATATCTCCATTTCCAGCTTATGCTCTGTGACTGAAGCAAAGTACCACTTACCCCTTTGGATAACTGAAACCATTTTATACCAAAGGGGTAGAAGTGGTGTGTTACAGGGGGAAAGGGACTTTAATCTTAAACTAAATGTCAAATTATGTTAGTCATAGAAAGGGAAGAGGTGTCAGCAAAGGACCCCAGAGTTTCTAACCTGCAGTGGTGGCACATGGGACATGGTGATACTCGGAGGTCAGGGAGCACCATCAATGTGTGTGTGTGAGGCCAGGGGAGCACTGTGCTCAGCAGCGTGCCCCTAGAGACAGAAAATGTGTTACCATACCCCATCCCTGGCAGTGTTCAAGGCCAGGTTGGACGCAGGGGCTTGGAGCAAGCTGCTCTAGTGGAAGGGGTCCCTGCAGGGGTTGGAGCAGGTTGATCTTTAAGGTCCCTTCCACCAGAACCCTAACAGAGGATGTCTTGCGGGGCTGTTTGTGATCCAAAACAGTTAGGCATCAAAATAAAGTTATTCAAATATTTGTCACATCCCTATTACTGCATCCAGGGTGCCAGAACCTCCATGGGATGTGCCTAAAGTCCACAGCTGGGTTTGTACAGCCAGTTCTGTGCTCCTGTTTCCTGGGAGATCATTTAACTCCACTGAACATGATGACAGGGATTTTCAGGCTCAGGAACACACTTATACCAAGTTGTTGCAATCACCTTGAAGCTTCCTCCGTGGCTTCTTACAGGGGTTGTGCATCTTTCATTACATGTCTGGGCAAGATCAGTGGTGATGTCTTACCATGGTACACAGTACCTTGGGTTATCTTATAGCACTCCACAGTGATGGAGCATTTTCATGTTTGCAGTCTTTTACCCAGACTAGTCTCTTTGTTAACCAGTTTTGTTCCTGATTTTAATCACAGTAAAGCATCTTCTAATGATAAGATTTTTTCCTTCCATGTGTTTCTGCTTCAGAGACCAGCATTTTCCTATTAGAAGTATTTGTGTGCATGAGGAAGTCAAAGTGTGTAGATGATGTTTGTTAGTTTTCATTGTGATTCAGAGCATGTGGGTTTGAGATTGATATTCTGGTTGTTTATTTACATATAGATTTAGTATATTTAGTATACAGATTTAGTGAAGTGCAACTTGGGGGGTTTGAATGTCTATTAAGGATGGTGTGGTGCTTATTTTCATGTTGTTTTACCTGATCTAAAATTAATGCCAGGACAAGAAGTTGAACTGCTGCTGTGCATATTCAAACTGACTGAGCCAGGGAGCTGCAGCTTGCTCAGCTGCACTTGGGCGTGTTTTTCATACTTGAAAGAGCCCATAAAACCCAACCTAAACCTTTGTGGCAGATTTCTACAGTGCCTGGTGGTACCTGCCCAGAGCAGGCCATGGTGGGAGCCAGCAGGGATGCCATTGAGATGCCATGGGATGCTATGGGGACGCTGTTGGGTTGCCATGGGGATGCTGTGGTTGTACCTCCTCCCTGCTAGTAGCAGGCAAAGCACCAACCCGTGGTCATCAAGGCCATTGAAGTGATGGGCACCCAGCCCCAGTGCTGAGGGTTCTGCTACCTGCTGCTCTCAGCTGTGTCTTTAGAACATGCAATGTGTTTTCCTGTGGCTTCCCTTGCTGTGGGCACCACAGCGCTCCTCCCTGCCTGGTTCTTTTTCCCATCTGTGAGAGAATATTCCCCCCACTGCTTTTCTGGGGGTGTTCAGACCATTTCTGTGACATTTTATCCTACCTGAGGTGACTGGCGTGGGCTGGTGTGGAGCAGGCTGTCAATCCAAGAGGAGCCTCAACCCACAGGCTGCAAACAGGGGTGCAATAAATCAGCTGTGGGTTAACTGCTTGTTCGTGGGTGTACCTGACGTTATCTAAGCATAGTCTATCACTTGGAATAGGTGTGTAGTCTGGACTGGAGATGACCGGGTCTTCTTCTTCAACCCTACAATGCAGCTGTCAGTCTGGGAGAAGCCGGTGGACCTGAAGCACCGCGGCGACATAAACCGGATCATCGAGGATCCTCCTCACAAGCGCAAGCTGGAAGCTGCAGCAAGTAACTAAAGCCCTGTGATTATTTGCCTCTATTTAAACTCAAATATGGAATGAAGCGTGGTCACTAAATACGCTCAGAGAAAGTTTGATAACTGTAATTAGAGTGGGTTTCCTTTGGGGATTTCATCTCAAGTATTGCGTTAAAATTGATGTTTATTGCAAAATCCTTATTTTCACAGCACTGCTGAGCTTGGGGATAGAGTATTCTCATTATTGGCAATGAAGAACCAGGTGCCTTCTTATACTGAATCAATCTTTGATGTAGAAAATACGTCTCGGAAGACGCTGTCTTTATGTTTTATTACACTTATTTCCAAGATGTACATTAGGAATGCATTACCAGTGCATTATTCAGCTGTTATACAGAGGGAGATGCTCCATAGCTAATGATTATCCAACCAAAGTGGGGGGGGGCAGGAAAATCCCTGTAGTAAATCTTTGATGAGTGTTCAAAGGTCTGGTGGAAACATGGGTGCTTGCATCTAAACATGACCCTGCAGTCACCTTCTAAATGCTGAATTCCTGTTACTTAGTTGTGCTGAAGAACAGCATGCTGACCTGCAGGGCTGTGTGCTCAGTGCTTCAAAACACAGTTTAAATACACTGTTTGGCTGGTCGGTGATCAGGGTATTTGCTATCCAGTCATTCCCATCATGACCAGTTCATGGAGGCAGTTTTCCCAGCTTGCCTCTCCCATCCCATACTCCATCTTTTTCCCTGCTCTCTGTAGTACCAGAGATGTTCAGGCCAGACTTTGTCCGTGCTGGTGAGCGGTCCAGGAGCAGCCCCACATGCCAGCCTGTGCAGTAGTGTCTCCATGTTTGTTCCACCACATTGCTCTCCAAAGATTACGTTTCACCAGTTTTTGTGGACTCTTGTGGTACTGGTCACTGCTCCGTGCCATAGAATCCCAGACTGGTTTGGGTTGGAAGAGACCTTAAAGCTCCTCCAGTTCCAACCCCTGCCAAGGGCAGGGACCCCTTCCACTAGAGCAGCTTGCTCCAAGCCCCTGTGTCCAACCTGGCTTTGAACACTGCCAGGGATGGGGTGTCAGTGATCATTTTGTTTCCTGATGCCTTATGTTGGCTTTCATGTAGGAGCAGTGCCAGTAAGACCTGCTCTTACTGGCAGGACATCCAGCTGCATCTAGACCGCATGCTTTGATCCACAGGCACACCTGCCAGTTAGCGTGACCTGCCTGCAGGTAGATAAAAGTGAATGATAATCAGGATTTATGTTACCTGTGTTAGCAGAAGTGTGCTGATAAAAAAAGCTGCAAAGAGTGGTTTTCTTTTAGTCTTTATCCCCATATAATGTCATAACGTTTTTCAATATAAATTTCAATCATCAGGTGCTCTTTTATGTATCATTTATGTCTGTGGCGTGAAGAACTTCAGCTGTATATCTAATAATTCCAAAGCCTGAAGTTCATTCTTCAGGAGAAAAATATGGCACATGTTTGCTGGTACAGGTTATACTGAAAGACCAAATAATTGCTGACCACAGGGAATGATGCCCAAGGACAAAACTGAGGGTCATTGTTCATGGTCTGTAATTAAAGAGAAGAGTCTAAAGTTGTTGTTGATATGTGCTGCTTCAAAGTCTATTTTTTGCTGTGTGTTCCATCCTTTCTGTTTATTACCTATATATACCACGCAGATCTGATTCATGCACCAGTTGCTTTGTGACCATGGTTATCATCATTGCTAATAGTCTTAATCTTCCTTGATATAGCTGGGAATTGTGGTTGCTCGCTATTTGAGAGAGTCAGGTTATAATTAGTATATATGAGCTGCTGAGGTGAAAGGAATTACTTGTCACTATTTCTCTTAGCTCGGAATCTGGAGTAAATAAATAACACATGAGCTGTGTGCTTCCAAAAATGGTTGCCAAACTTATTTAGTTTAGTTGGTGCTGCTGAGTTTTAATTGGAAGTCTTAAATCACAGGCATGAAAAGAAGTTGGCAGAGTAGTTCTTCATGGGATGCTGGAGGTTGTGCATCCCTCTGCTGAAAGAACAAGCGCACTTGTAATTTGAGCATAAATGCAAAATTACTCATTTATCAATTCCTCCACCTCCACTAAGTATTAGTTCTTAGGGAGATGTGTAAGGTGTTGAGGTGTATGTTATATACTCATTACTGATGTGTTCCCATCAGGCCGTCTCTCAGCTGGCATCCCCGGCTCCTCCATGGGGACGTCACCGGGGTGACAGACTGACCATAATATCCCTATTTGCCCTCAAAGATTCCTTGAAATATTTGTCTTACTACAATGGCAAAAACCCATTCTTATCTATTCCTATTCCTTCCTCTGCTCAAATGGTTTCTCTGGATGTTCAGGCTGAGGAAGTTATTTATTCAGCTAATTAAAAGAAAACGGACATTCTGGCCTCAGATAATGGCTAGTTAATTCATAGTTGGTATGATCCCTGTTCAAAACCAGTTATGATTTAGTTTAGTCTGTTCCCACAGATACTTAGGACCCTCTAGCTTTCAAATGTATGTATAAAGCATGGCTCCTACATATAGGTAAGCTCCCAAGCTTATGTGCAGTACATACTCTACAGCACTGCTGATCACATCTTTGCGTCTGGCCAGTGGCTTGATAATGCTTCAACTCACCTGGTGAACGCTGGTGTTCCCTCTTTGTTCTGGAGATTGAGCTGGAATTCATGACTTGGCTGGGATTAGCTGAATGATTTCATTAAGAAGCTCTAAACTTGATAGACCGTCAGATTGGGGCAGTGATTTCATGGAAAGATTGCTGCCAGGTAATATTCTTCCTCAAAGCTTTAAATCAATTACTAGATTTTGTGCTTGGCTGCCTCTCTTCCCTTTCAAAGTCAGTTTATAATCTTAGCAGAGGTCCAGCAGTACAAAGTGAATCAGTAGGTTCCTGAGTGAAAGTATAGATAGCGTTTGTCATGTTTTACTGAGCTTCCCTTTGCACTGAAATTTGAAGTGATGATGCTGATTCTAATCTCGTTCCATTTATCCAAGGCAGTATAACCACCGCAGTCAGTCATGCAGGGAAAGTGAGAAGGACTTGGGAGGCTGTCATTGCTCTCTGGGAGAACCTGACGTGTGTCAGGAGCCAGCAGATGGAAGCAAACTCTGAAATCACAGGATCCCAGCCTGGTTTGTGCTGGAAGGGATCTTAAAGCTCCTCCAGCTCCAACCCTGCCACGGGCAGGGACCCCTTCCACCGGAGCAGCTTGCTCCAAGCCCCTGTGTGCAACCTGGCCTTGAGCACTGCCAGGGATGGGGCAGCCACAGCTTCTCTGGGCACCCTGTGCCAGCGCCTCAGCACCCTCACAGGGAAGAGCTTCTGCCTAAGAGCTCATCTCAGTCTCCCCTCGGGCAGGTTAAAGCCATTCCCCTTGGCCTGTGCCTACATCCCTTGTCCCAAGCCCCTCTCCAGCTTTCCTGCAGCCCCCTTTGTATCAGAGTTCTTTTGTCTGAAGGCTAGATGGTGGCTAAGATTTGGTTGTATAAATGCAGTTGACCTATTTTACACAGTAAAATCTAGAAATTCTGTATCCTTTTCAGAAGTCTGTGAAAGATTCTGATCTAATTTGACTTCAGATTTGTATTCTTCAAGTACCTGTAGAGCCCCATGTAATTGTTTGTCATCGCCAGTGAGTTTGCTCTTGTCCTGTTGAAACGCTGAATGGGAAAGACTCACTGCCCTGGCCAGACTTCTCACCACTTGCTTTAGTAAAAGAACATCCCATCAGTGTTTGTAATGTCCACGCATATGTCCTCGAGCCAGCTCTGGCTGTGGAGTGACAAATGGCTTCTCCTCTTCTTTATCAGTTGTGAAATTGGGTAGGAGCGGGACTGTGCTTGCCCAGTCACCTTCAGCTCTCTTGGAAGACACCATTAAGTACTCTGTCATATTTTTACCTTCAGATATGTCATATTTTTACCTCCAAAATACGACTCATTGTATTTTTGCCTCCTGAATTCCTTAAAGTTCAGACCACTGCTGCCTCCCCAGGTTGTTCATCCCCTGATAAACAGCTTTATAACATCTCTGTTGAATTACACTCCATTGCAGGCTGTTTTTCCTATTTCTCTGTGGTTTTGATCAGGTGTCCCAAAGAACAATTTCCAAGTAGAGGTAACAGCTCCCATGAACTTGTGTTTATTTAAAATGATATCAAATTCATTTTTGTATCCATAATGCTCATGTGTTGTCAGGAATGTTGAGATCAAACTCTCCGTAGTTTGGAATGCCGTTCATCTCTCTGTATGAACATTTTATGTTCTAGTTTGTACATTGTCCTTTTGTATTTCCTCCTTATGTGCTCTCTGTTCCTGGTCTTCCCTCACTGCAACATTGCAGCTGCCATTTGGTTTTTGTTGTTCCTTTTGCAGTGATTTAGTGTTGGCGTTCTTCAAACACTTAATATGAAAAGGTAACATTTGCTGGGAGCACACTAATAAACGTGTCATTTACCTAAAATAGGGAAGCAAAATGAGCTGAGAACAAGATTCTTAAATTGAAACTTGAAATAAATGGCCAATTTTCTCTTATCTTCAATGATGCAGATATTAGACCCATTTTGTAGGAAATGGCTTGGAGTTTCATCTGATTTCAGTGAGATCAGATCTCACCATACCAAGTTATTCAAACCTTTAAACTCCATAACCTTAGTTCAATTTTAGCTTTATTTTTGATTTACTTTTTCATCATTTCCTCCATAGCAAGCCATGTTTTCATTACCACGGTAATACAGAGAGGCTGACGTTTGGTGTTTCTGATATGCCCAAGCTAACCATGTGCATACACCTTGATTATTATGTTTCTCATGGTGAACTACTGGAGTCCCCAGCACAAGCCGAGCACTGAGTGGATGTGGCTCCTGATGCTCTCTTTGATTTGTGATGAAAACTGCAGTTTGTGTACCTGAAGAAAAAGGATTTCCAGAAATAATACATATCTGTCCCATATGCTTCACATTCATTATGTGACAGTGCAACCCCAGAGTCCTCCAAGGATGGTTGTCCAGACCAAGCCAGGAGCGTAACATTACCTTGGAGTTACCTGTGGCATAAGGAGCATGGAGGTTGTTGGTATCCCCATGATCTTGATGCACTGGGGGTGGAATCCCAGAAAAATAGCATTATATTTGCTTATATAAGAAAGGAATGGGCTGAGGAGGGAAGTTCTGGTGCGAGGTGCTGCTGTTGAATCCTTGGTTGCCAGTACTGACATTACCGTGCAGAAATGCCTTTGTAGTTGCATTTGTAAGGGAAGGGAGGAGGGAGGATCAGGTGAAACCGTAACAAGATTTAAACCAGTCATGTCACAAATGAAAAATGAGGAGCTTTTCAGAATGGAAATGGTCGGGTTTATTGCTATCACTTTCATTTGGGTGAAGGCAATTGTGAGGATCTGATGAAAGATGTGTTATTTTTAAAGCGCTCTGTGGAGAGGGAAGAATAGCAAATATCTGAGCAGCAGCCAAAGGCAGGGAATGAAAGGTTAATTTGAGGAATCTGTATTCCCATTTATCTAGTTCAAATCTAATAACTATTTATTTCTTTTTAGCAGACAAATGTGTTAGCTCTTGCCCAGGGGATGAAACTGATGATCTTAGCATCAAAACTAAGAGAAATAAGTAAGTTCTAAAGTTTCCTTATCTATATATAATGTTGGGAAGCTAATGTCTGGCACAAATAAATGTAAAGAGAAATACAGTTCTTTTATGTGTGGATAACTCCTTATGAAAGTCACTCTTAAGGTAGCCAGTCTTCATCAAACCCCATGATTCTCTATAATCTCTGTTTCCCCTGAAATCCATCAGTTTTTGTCAAATTCATGCTTATTTTGAAATGGTTAAAAGAAAAGATTATAAAGATATATGTGGTTGTTTCAAAGACACTGGATAAAAGCTTTATCTTCATTGAAGTGGAGCAGATTGTTTTCCACTGGTGTCAGGCTGCCAGCTTAGAATATCCGGAGGTATTTCTGTTATTGTGCTTTCATTTGACCTTTATTACTATGTGCGTTTCCAACTCTGAGGAAGTAAGAGGCAAAAAACCCCATGTGCCAAACAAGCAACTCCCTCATCCTTCACCAGAGCAGGAAGAAAAGGAAGGAAACAGCTTGTGTTTTAAGGAGTACCTTAGAGACATTTCATTCTAGTTAACCTAACTGCAGCTAGCGTCGGCTGCTAAGGGTAAGATACTGGTTTGGGCCATTAAAAAATAAGCCTGTAAAATAAATCTGCATAGAATAGTGTGTTATATTTTGAGGGCATCGTGCTGAGCGAGCACAGCAAATGTCTTGTGTTTTCCAAATGAATATATTGAGGATAATCCTATTCTCATTGCTGTTCCTATCCTACTACATCGGGTGGTTCCTCTGACCTTGGGAAGACTTTCTGTGGTTTTGTGTTGGTATGAGGGAAAAGTCGGATACTCCCAGATGGAATACTCATGCTATTTAAGCATTTAATGCGTGGTGTAAGAGAGTCTATTTATACTTTATGTGTCCTAAATATGTCCTATTTACATAGTGTTTTGCATTCGTAAACAGTATAAAAGTTTATATTTAGTATAAAATACTTAGGAATACATCTTCTGATGTCAGTGGGTTTGACAGCAATGGGCCGCATTATGACCTGTGTACAGAGGTGGATGTTTTCCATGTGCTATTAAAGGGATTCCCTTTAGTGACTGGCTGAGAAAATGTGAAAGCATCTTTCCATTCGTGTAGCTAAGGAGAATTCTAAAACTCGAGAATCTTATTGAAAGAACTCCAGAAAAATGCACTTATTCAAAGATTATTGTGTTAAAAGTGCCTCTTTCACTGTCCACTTGTGAGTAAAGAATGTTATCTCATCTTCACTGGGTTTCCATGACTTACTCACTTGAAATACTAACTTTTAGTCTCTTATTTTCTTTATACTCAAAGGAACACTGTCAAAATTATCAGTCCCAAATAAGGCCCATCTTTTTAGATATTTGCAGAATTTACCTTGTATTTATTTGCAGAAATACATCTCCATATATGTGCCTTTTCCCCAAAGCAAATAAGTAAATGCAGCTCAAGCTGAGCAGTCTCAGCCTACCACAGAGATGCTGCCTGACTCTCCTGCCTTAATGCACTGTAGCATCATTCTTGTGGTATATATTAATAGATACATAGATACGTATATATGCATATATAAGCATAAATCATACAGCAATCAAGCTAAAAGCGCAACCACATCATAAATGCAACAGGGTGGTGGCCAGCATCTTGAATTGCCAGCAACATTTGCTGGGCACAGGCAGCAGAACAGCACTGCAAAACAACCCGCAGTTGTGACTTTATGCCACAGAAGTTGAATAGCAGGTGATAATGAATTTATATCAACTGCTGTTTATGCCATCCTTTACATTATGTTGTTTTTATGTATGGCATAATAAATAATACAACCTTTATTGTACTTGAGATTTGTGACAAGATGTTCATTGAGAAGCTATTTAAAGCTCTAAGAACCTTGCCATAAGTTCATAGAATCACAGAATCCTGGAATGGTTTGGGTTGGAAGGGACCTTAAAGCTCATCCAGTTCCAGCCCCCTGCCATGGGCAGGGACACCTTCCACTAGAGCAGGTTAATATAAAGAGTAAAGTAATCTTCAGAGAAACTTAGGTCTTTTGGGGTTTCTTCACAGTGGCAGAAGGGCTGGGGACACCTCCGTCCCCCTGCTCCCAGCAGGTCCAGTGCGTTGAGCATCTCCAAGGCTGGAGCCCCACAGCCTCCCTGGGAAGCCTGCCCCAGTGCCAACCAGCATCACAGTAAAAAAGCTTTTTCCTGTGCTTAGATAGATTTTCCTCTTTGTGCCCGTTGCCCATTGTCTCTTCTTTTGTCAGTGGGTACCACAGTTACATAAAAACATCCCACTGCCCTATCCGTGTGAAGATTTCCAGGCTTCCAGGATTGTTCTAGTAGGCTGCCCGCATGTGTCCGTCTGAGAAGGAAGTCACATTGTTGTTTGTGCAGATTATTGTATTATTTTCTAAAGAAAATTCTTTATTGTGTTCTAGTCTCTATTGCGTTGTATTCTTTATTGTCATTTTTGCCACGAGAAAAAAGCCTGTGTGATTTGCAGCATCATTTTCAATTGCATGAGGAGGACTGAAGGAAAGAGGGGCTCTTCTGGTGCTTGGCTGGTGGAGCAGGATGCTGTATTCCTCCCAGTTTGGGCTTGAAAAAGCACTTTGTATCTACTAAGGATTGGATTGAACCTTTCATGGATCATGTCACAGACTGAAATGCGCTATTACAATATGAAAGTCACTGTCAATCTGTGAAGAACACCAAGTTGGTATCTCTCAAATCACTAGTAGCACAGCATCATTTTAGGATAAATGTGAGTGTAATGTAATTATTTGCAGAAGGAAGATAGCCCGCCAGAGCTCGCATTCCAGACTAATTTATTCATTTGCTTGGAAACAAAATAATGCTTTCCTGTTGAAATTTCAAACTAAGTATTATTCTGTAGTGGGGAAAATTGCCTCAGTAGAAAATGCAGTCATGCCGGTAGGAGGCTAAAAAAGAAATCATCTTATATCCATTATCCTCACTTGAACCTTGTGAAGACTCCAGACCTTTCCAGAAAAAGCCTTACATTCATTCATAGAATCCCAGCCTGGTTTGTGTTGGAAGGGACCTTAAGGCTCATCCACTTCCAACCCCTGCTCCCACGGCCAGGGACCCCTTCCACTAGAGCAGCTTGCTCCAAGCCCCATCCAACCTGGCCTTGAACACTGCCAGGGATGGGGCACAGCAATGCTATCTATGTGCCTTTATCCAGGGGGTTCCTGCAGGCAAAGGGACTCAGGCAATACATAGTATTTCTCAGAAGCAGCTATTTATCCAAATCAGGTGCAACCTAAGAAAAGGGCTGTCAGGATAAATATGGACCTTTCTGCACTGACAAAGGGCAGGTTCTTCGCTGATGCTTTATTGGCAGGTTTGTGCATTGCCAGATTTCTTCCCTTAGGAGTGAGCTCCTGGGGTGCATGAGAGCATAAAATAAAGATCAGTGTTGACTTTCAAGTTCTGGGGCACAAAGGCAGAGGATGGAAAAATAAACCAAGTTGAGTCTCTTCAGTCACAGCTTTCGAGTCTCCAGTCCTTGACACATGTGGTATGAAGTTGTCATATTTCTGTAGCTTGCAATAGACCCTAGCATTGTGGTGCTGAGCTCCTCTGTGATCACACCGATGAGCATCCTTCCGCATAATGAGCTGTCGGAGATCCACTGGCAGGGCCCGTGAGCCCCATGGTTTAATAACACAGCACAGGGCTGGGTAACTTCTGAGCTGTCAACCTTCGCTTGTGAGCAAGAAGTCCAACATCCTGGAGGGTTTTCTTGGGAGGGTTGAAAGTCCCCTCCCCAGCTGTCAATTACTGAACTGTTGTCTATCTTACCTTGTTAAAGAACAGAAGATTCCCAAGCTGCTGACCAGCGAAAGGCTGAAACGGAGGAGAAAAATGAGGAGACATCAGCACCTCAGGTCACGCCTCCCCTAGAAGAGCGTATCACTCATTTCCGAGACATGCTTCTGGAGAGAGGGGTAAGAAACGCTTGTTTTCTCTGACATATCCCCTTTATTAAGCTAGAGCAGCATCTAGGAGCACTACAGGAATAATTTCATAACTGTGACTTAGCAGTCAAATGACGAATTACTGAAGGTTTTTCTGCCTTTTAGCCATGCTGGGTTTGCTGTACTCTACTGTGACTGTTCTTCCAATGCCACCCGGTCAAACACGGCCTTGTGGAACTGAAAGCCCTTTGCAGGTGCAGTTGCAGGTAAATGCCTGTAGACAGACCCAAAGATAACCAGAGGTGGTAGATCTTCCCTGCAGACCAGTGGCTGAGCAGGGCATGGGGACCGTGGTCACACACCAGCCCTGGGGTCCAGCATGAACCTCAGAAATGGAACAAAGAGGAAGAGATGTGTTGTGTACATCACCTGAAAGGCAGTGCCAGGCTTAGGAGTATTTTCTACCTAGAACAGTCCTGGCAAGCTCTTTGCTTCGTTTAGCATCATCACCACAAACTCTCATGATTCCAAATTCATTTACTGGCCATCCAGAGCCATGGAATCCCAGACTGGTTTGTGTTGGAAGGGACCTTAAAGCTCCTCCGGCTCCAACCCCTGCCATGGGCAGGGACCCCTTCCACTAGAGCAGCTTGCTCCAAGCCCCTGTGTCCAACCTGGCCTTGAACACTGCCAGTGAACTGATCATTTTGAGCCTGAATGGAATTAGTAAGCACACCAGGTTTAGGTCCTAGTCCTGCCAATGTAAATGGGTGTATAATGGAGCAGTGAGTGCAGATTTTTTGCCTCCCTCCAACACTCTGCAGATACATATTCTGTAGAAGTTCATGTAATTTCTGTAAAGAATAAATATCCAAGGTGTCTGTTGTTAGGCAGCAAAGCCTGTGATATTTATCACTGGTAATCAGCAGGCTTTAAAGGTAGATAATTAGAGCTCCAGAAGCTCAACAGTAAATTATCTCCACACCAGACCTGCTTTATTAACACATTTTGTTATTTATGCTTAAAAAATGCAGAAGTGCCAGAAATGAATACTGGTTAAAGACGTCTGCTGGCATCATTTAAGTCAGGGGGCAGTAAGTCAAAATCAAAAGCATTAGGGATGTTCTATAATAGGATTCCTCAAATGTTTCCAGTGTGAGTCAGACTTACTGATAAAAACAAGAAAATCAGGAAATCTGCTGCTTGGTTTTGCTATTATTTAAAAGGCAGTGATAATTGCTTACTTTGCTTTTGCCCTGAGCAGGTTTTAAAGGTCCAGAGAAGGCACTGGTTAGCACCAGCTTCTTGGCAGTGCTTGACATAAAGTGAGGCTGTCAGTGTTCTTTTAGCCTGGTTATTTAATGAACATCTCCTGCCATCTTCTCGTAATGTTGTTATTTCTCAAGAAGTTCCTTGGTGACATTGCGAAGAGCTTGAACTGGGTGGGAAGATCTTCAGCGTGGTTCTAAATCCTACATCAGTTACAGCAACAGAAGATTATTTCTTGTGAAGTTTTATAGGATTTTTGGTCTGTCTCCAGGACAATGGCACTATAAAGTCTGTGGCAAGTTTTCCTATGGAAAAAAAATGGAATTTCTGATATCCTCCTGGAATTTCATCCCATGATTTTATGATTCTGCAAATGAATCTGTGATGAATTAGCCCAAGCTTAACTAGCTTTGTGTTCTAACTGGCCTTTGTACTCTGAGCAAAGCTGACGTCCACGTGTATGTAAGATACCCTAAAGGAAAGGATTCTTGCTTGATCCTTCTGAAGGGGGGAAGTACTCCTGAAGCCAAGAACCTTTCCAGGACGAAACCCCAAACCTTGGGACTCGTCCACCTGTGTGGGCATGGAGGGTGATCCACAAACCCACTTGACTTCATCACAGCTTTCCTGCTTGAGCATTAAATGCTCTATTTTAATTATGCTTCACATACTTACTTTTTTTTAGTGAATTTATTCTTCATTGTAATTAGATGAATGATTAGAATATTTTATGTTACTCCAGAGTTTTCTGTAACAAATTAATTAACACTGATGTGGTACAAGGCACAGAAACCAGCCTGGGGATCTCAGTCCTATGCTCCCAGACTGTTGTGTTGTAGAACTCTTTGGCACAGGGCACTGAGCATGAAAGGGACCTGCTCAGACCCACAGTGGTCCTTACAGCCCACACATCCAAAAGCGCTCTGGGAGAAGGTGGAAGAAGCTCTGTAGGAGTGTGATATTTTCATTCCATGTAGCTGCAGGAATGTGAGCCATGTAGGGTATAAGGGGCTTGGGTGGAAGACCAGGGTCCTGCTCTGGAGAGCTGGGTTCACTGGGAAAGGGGGGAAGCCTCTAAATGGAGGAGATGTGACAGCCATGCTGCTGGAGGGAAATGGCACGTTTCCCGTGAAACCTGGTGTTTGAACCCCAGCCTGGTTTGTGCTGAAGGGACCTCAAAGCTCCTCCAGCTCCAACCCCTGCCACGGGCAGGGACCCCTTCCACTGGAGCAGCTTGCTCCAAGCCCCTGTGTCCAACCTGGCCTTGAACACTGCCAGGGATGGGGCAGCCACAGCTTCTCTGGGCACCCTGTGCCAGCGCCTCAGCACCCTCACAGGGAAGAGCTTCTGCCTAAGAGCTCATCTCAGTCTCCCCTCTTCTAGCATCTTGAAGAGTCTCACCCCTAGTTCTTCTTTGTGTGCACGCACTGGCAGCTCATTTGAGTTAGAATTTCAATTTCAGAGAGGAGGAGAGTTAAAGCTGAGATAATTGTTTAGCTGGAAATTGATGCTTCTGTTGTACAAAGGGGGTCATAAAATGGCACTTTCCTTTCTGCTATGGATTCTTTCCACCAAAAATGTGGAATAACCCTCTCCCAGACACTCCCTGAGATGTCCTAGAGCAAATCAATAGTAATGGTGTGGGGGCGACCAGAGCATTGCCAGAAACAGATTAGAATTCAACTTCCAACTTCTCTGAAGCATCCTTTAGGGGGTTCATTAGCTTTCTGAACTGCTCTTTTGCTTCACCTTGGAACATTTTCTTCTTTCACATCCTTATTAAAATTCCTTAATGCAGCTGTGTTTGTGTATTTCACAGGTTTCAGCTTTTTCTACGTGGGAAAAGGAGTTGCACAAAATAGTGTTTGATCCGCGCTACCTTCTGCTGAATTCAGAGGAACGTAAGCAGGTGAGGGTTGCCTCTAGTATGGCTCCTGATTGGCGACAAATGTCTCCCAAATGAAGCGTAATAAAAGAGGAATTATCTCGGCAGGATAAAGGGAATTGCATAAAATTAAAATGTCTATTTTGAGTTCTTCAGTGAGACTCGTAACTTAGGCTTTGCTCACAGGAAAGTGCTGTCTCCTTAGGAAAGCAAGTAGTAATGAGTGTGTTTGTGCATCGAGATGAGCCACGGGCTCTTCAGTTGTAGGAACAACAACTACTGAGGCTGGGAAACTGGGCTGTAGGAAGGGAAGTGGCCATAAAGCAATGTTACCACTCTGAATTATTTAAATACTGTAGAGAGACTACTTCATTTTTATTGCTTGGAATATTTTCTGGGAGTTTGCTGTTATTTACTGCTGTATCTTGCAATAACTAAGCTTGCTAAGACATAAATGGAGAACACTGTGGCTGTGCCGGTGTGTGTCTGAAAGGGTTTAGCTTCTCTGGCAGGCTGCAAAGGGAGTGGGGTTCTTGCTGCCTTGGTTATTTGGGCATTAATCATCACTGGGGATCTAAAAGGACCCGAGGGCTACAGTTCAGTCTAAAAAATGTAGGGCAGATGCAAGGAAGTTGCAGGGAAAGGGAATGCTTCTATTCTGTGGGTATTTCTCTTCCTTACAGTCTTTTGTCATCCTGGAGAGGGAAGAATTTTGAATATGGAATTGTCCATTTTTTAAATCAACACAATGAAAAATGTTTTTAATTCCTATTCCATTGCACTGGGGGCTGTGTTGTCTCATGAGTCACCAGAGAGCTTCTTGTGGGGATTTACGGAGGCACTGGGCACGTACATCTTCATTTATTCCTTTTCCAGTATTTTCTTTCCTAAGAAAAAAGGTGAAATAAAATAATAAGGAAATACGGGAATGAAAATGTAAGAGAAACTGCTAGAATGGAAAATAGTGCAAGGCAAGAGAACAAGCAGGGAGTTTTGTACTCACTTCAGGGAATCAGCAAGGACAAAACCTAGACCTTGCTGGGTCAATCAAGATTTATGACTTCTTTCTTTTTATCAGCCTTGGAGACGGTATAATAATAATAATACATCATGAATACACATAATGTGCTTGAAGCACTGCTGAGAGGACCTCGTCTGTGGGGTGGGCTTCAGACTCAACACAAGGGTTGTGGAAAAGAAATCATTGGCAGTCCTGGAGGTAGAAACCTGCCACCAGGTAGAGGCTGGCTCAGAGCTAATGTGGAAGAGGGTGATTGTTGGTTGCTCTTCTGCCAAACAGTGCTAAAACAGCAGCGTGTGGGAGCACGTGCCAGCTGTGTAATATATTGTAGGTGCTAAGCTCCAAGTTAAGATTTCCAGATGTTCATTATGAGTAGTGCCATTTAATTAGACCCCATTTTCCTCCAAGAAGTAGTTTAAGGATAAAGTCTCTGCCAGAAGAGATGCCTGATTTAATGAAAGTACTTCTTGAAGCACAACTCCAATTAGTAGAAGACATTATTTAGGTTTATGGAAACATTTACCTTCACGGCTGCTGGTGTGTGGCCTGAAAGCTCTCTAAATTATGCAGATTAATTGATATTGGAGAGTGTTGGAGGTGAAAAGTGGCTCAGAATGGAAGTGAAGAAGGAAGGAATGAAAAAGGGAAGAAGGGAGGAAAGTGGGCAGGGAGGGAGGGAGGGAGGAAGGAGAAGGAAGGAAAAAGAAGGAAGGAAAAGGAAGGAAGGAGGGAGGGAGGGAAGGAAGGGAGGGAAGGGAAAAAGGGAGGGAGGGAGGAAAAGGAAGGAAAAAAAGGAAGGAAAGGGAAAGGAAAAAAAGGAAGGAAAGGGAAAGGAGAATGAGCATGGCTGGCTGTACCGCAGTTTCCTCCTTTTGATTGTCAGGTAGGAAAGGGCAGGGAAAGTGTTTTGACTGAGATCTTCAGGTGTCTGAGAGAACTTCCTCTTGACCCGAACTTGTGTTCAGGTGGGTTTGGTGTGCAGGAATGGAAGCTCTGCTCTTGGTGGGTGTCCTCACACAGCCCAAGGGACGTAACGATCCGTTATTGAACATCTGCACACTCACCAATGGTTTCCAAGGCATTATTAGCAGTTGAAGGATGCTTTTGTGTATAAGACTGGAACAGTGAAGGGTAAAGGAGCAATTGCATTAAAATAATGAGCTATCTGTTAATTTTGATTTAATACCTTGCTGATAGCTTCACTGATAGCAGAAAGGCCAGCAATACAGTGTTGCCTACTCTATTTGTTCCATTTTTCCACCTGCTCTTACACTCACACAATTGCATAGAGTATCATAAGTCTGGATTTCCTGGGGTTTTCATAGTACTTTTTTCATGGACATTTTTTGATGTTTGCTTTCCCAGTGCTGTTTCTTCCCTTTTCCACATACTATGCTAAATACCAGTTGTAAGTTGGCTACTTTAGCTTTCATGGCATGTAGATTTGCAGCTGTGCATCCTCATGGCTGATGAGGAAGCAACTGAGGTAGTAACCATAGTAATCATATTTAATGTATGTGATTTGTAGTGAGAAGGGTGGTGAATATGGAAAACTAATGGCATTTTGAGGCTTTTATTCAACAATTTAGTGTGCCACACTTCTCAGAGCATGAAACGAGCAGGGCCTGATTTTTGCTATTAAAAATGTGATTAAAGCAGTTGGCAGAATTTTGTGCCATAGTGCACTACTTGGTTCCTTTTCAAGACATCAGAAATCCAGATGCTGAGGCCATGCTGCTTATGTAGCTGCCAAATACTGTTAGAGGAAGATCATCAACCATTCCAAACATGTTAAAGCTTTTGGGTGTATGTGTACAGAGAGTCGTGTGTAAGCTCGTGGGGTTTGACAACTGATTTGAAAGGTCTTCAGGCTATTTGGGGGAAAACTACAGAATATTGGTGTTTAGATTTATAGACATTTTCAGGAATTCCAGCAAGTTGGGAAAGATGCAAGATCCAAAGTAAATAACTGCAGTCAGCTGCGCAGATGCCCAAAAGTAAGGCTATAGGCGTGAAAACGTGAGCAAGACGCTGAAGTCAGGAAATTGTGATTTATGTTGCTCTCAGTGTTTGGATGAAGATGCTGTCTGTCCACACTGTGCCTTTTCCTATCCACTTGTTTTGTGAGAACACGCTGTTTGTGCTGCATGAAGTGGGTTCAGCTGCACGTTGAGTCAATGAGGGCAGATAAGAACTGTAGGTCTGGAGACTTGACAGCCCTTTGATGAAGCATAAATACCACGAAGGCTTTGTTAATAAACTCTGTATCTTGTTTTCCTTTCTTGGAAAGATATTTGAACAGTTTGTCAAGACCAGGATCAGAGAAGAGTACAAAGAGAAGAAAAACAAGTTATTGTTAGCCAAAGAAGAGTTTAAAAAGCTCCTTGAAGAATCTAAGGTGTCACCAAGGTATGGCGTTGCCTTGTTGAGTTGTTGAGATAAATTTTCTCATTTAGCCCGTGCTTATCTGCCCTGGAAAGTCATAACCCTGAGCAGACTCTTCATATCCAGCTTGTACATCCATTGTTCCAGTGCTGGGTTGGCATTGCTTCCCTAATATTTTGCAATATTTTGTTATATTACTGGGAGAGGGAACATTCCATCCTTCCCTGTTCCTTTCTCCCTCTCTTATTCACAATATGCAACATTTTGCATACACTTTTATTTCTTCTGCATATATATGTTGTAATTATAGAACACACACATATCTATTAATTAGATAAAATCAATACATATTAAACCTCATTTACATTAGGCATACAGGTGTAACTAGTGAAAACCCATTCAGGTTTGCCTGTTGACAAAGGACAAATGTAATTCAGCCAACTTAATATTAATAGCACATAGCTAAATTAAAATAAAGCGTGCACGTGAAAGAATCCATTTTTCTACATTGCTTTTTAAGTAATGGACCCCAAACTGCACCATTGAGAATGCAGAGCTGAGGATACTGCTTTCTCATTTGTAAATGATATGGAAATAAAGGTTTATATATTAGAAATCCAATTAAATTATCAGAACTGAGAAATTAGTTTTCTCTGCTCAAATACACGGGTAATTGTACAGCACTTCCTGCCCAGACGTGGGTACAAGCAACACATCAGGCTGAGTGGAAGTAATAACAAGCTTTTTACAACGAAACAGAGAATATTCTGGGCTAATGTGGCCGCTAAATGCTGGTCCCAGCAATGTGCTGGCTTTGAGGCCAGAGCTGTTATGTTAATGTTTCTGTTGAGCTGAATGCAAGACCACAGCAGCAAAGAAACTCATGTTCCATCAACAGTCTCTGGCTTGTTTCTGATATGCAATGAGATAAATAAATCAAACATATTTCCAATACGAAGAAAACAGGCCTTTTCCCAAGGGGCTCTTACATATCTGCACAGTGTTTAGAGCTCTGATTCACCCAAGAATAAGTACTGCGAAGTCAATGTGGCAGAGCACAGCGAGATCACTGACAGGAGAAGCAGGCAGCAGCGTGGTGCAGAGGGCAGCACAGGCAGAGGTGTCCCATCACAGCATCCTTGGCAGCAGCTCTGGGACCAGCCGGAGTGCCAAGCAGCCAAGGGAACACCCACTGACCTGGAGCATCTCCAGTGTCCCCGTGTGCTTCTCTGGAGTAGTGGGGATCATTGAATCGCAGACTGGTTTGTGTTGGAAGGGACCTCAAAGCTCCTCCAGCTCCAACCCGTGCCATGGGCAGGGACCCCTTCCACTAGAGCAGCTTGCTCCAAGCCCCTGTGTCCAACCTGGCCTTGAACACTGCCAGGGATGGGGCAGCCACAGCTTCTCTGGGCACCCTGTGCCAGCGCCTCAGCACCCTCACAGGGAAGAGCTTCTGCCTAAGAGCTCATCTCAGTCTCCCCTCTGGCAGGTTAAAGCCATTCCCCTTAGCCTGTATATATAAATATATAAAAAGTCAAGGAGTTTAAACAAAAACTCCTTGTTGGTAGCCTATGAATTATGGTGCCAGTTCATTATAGTGCTCACCATGCTGCTCTCAGACTGGGACCGATGGACCTCTACTGGGATTAGCAGAAGCATCCGAGCAAAGATACCAGTGAATGTTTCTGTTCTCAGATACCATGTTTGGAGCGGAAAATGCTGGGCCTGATGACGAAATCCTCCTGCAGAGCTCCCTGTGGGCTTCAATTACATGGTGCCCATCAATCAGAGCTACAATTAATTTTTTGCTATTTTTAGGAAAGATGAAACTATTGGGTGTTTCATCAGGTGCGGTGCAGTCAAAGTGCATTTGTTTGCAATTAGGCACAGATCTGGTTTTCTGCTGTGTTATAAGCTAATTATTGAAATACTGGCCAGAAGTACAGGCAGGCATAGATTAAAGCTGCAGTAAACCAGGGTGAAGCAAATACTGTGTTAATGATTCCAAAATGTCCTGTCAACCCTCACCTAGATTTTTTTAAAGCAACTTAAATGTTGCAGGCTAATCCATGAGTCCAAAGCAGTTCTGGCATGGTCTTGTGTCCTGGGTTCAGCAGCAGCAGTCATTTTTCTCCTTCTTAGTAGCTGGTGCAGTGCTGTGGTTTTGACTTTCAGCCTGGGAGCAGCGCTGATAACACCGATGTTTTCAGTTGCTGCTCAGTAATGTTTGGTCTGACCAAGGACTTTGTGAGCCTCATGCTCTACCAGGAAGGAAGGGAAGCCAGGAGGAAGCAGAGACAGGACACCTGACCCAAACTGACCAAAGAGCTATTCCATACCACAGCACGTCATGCCTGGGATGTAACTGAGAGTTACCAGGAAGGGCGAGTTCACTGCTGGGTCGGGCTGGGTATTGGTCAGTGGTGAGCGGTTGTATTCTCTTCCCTTGTTATTTCCCTTATCATTGTTATTATTGGTGGCAGCAGCAGCGGTTTGTGTTATACCTTAGTTACTGGACTGCTCTTGTCTCAACCCATGGGAGTTACATTCTTTAGATTCTTCTCCCCATCTGTGTGGGAGCAGGGAGTGGGGAAGGAAGGGGAGGGAGTGAGCAAGCGGGCTGTGTGGGTCTGAATTACTGACTGCACTTAAACCATGACATCTTGCTTTCCTCGTCCTGGGTTTACCATTATATTCCTGTCAAATATCAGAATAACCAGAAGGAGTCTTAATTTGTGTGGAATTCATTCATAGACTCACAAAACAGTTTGTGTTGGAAGGGACCTTAAAGCTCATCCATTTCAGGACACCTTCCACTAGAGCAGGTTGCTGTAAGCCCTTGAGCACTGCCAGGGATGGGGCAGCCACAGCTTCTCTGGGCACCCTGTGCCAGCGCCTCAGCACCCTCACAGGGAAGAGCTTCTGCCTGAGATCCAGTCTAAATTATTCCAGTATAAAACCTCCTAAACTAAACTCTGTAAAGCCTCTCTAACTTCTGAGGCTTTTAAAACAGCCATTTTTAAAGTTTATTTTTGTTAATTACCAAAACATCAGGCAAATTGCGTTACGGCAGGTCCCTCAGAACATCCTTGGGTTTTAGTGCCTGTATGAAAAGTCAGACCCAGGTTAAAGAGTCAGAGAGTGGATTGGCCAAGCCACAGCTTTTAAATTTGTCTCTTTTCTGCAGAACAACGTTCAAAGAATTTGCAGAGAAATATGGAAGAGACCAACGGTTCCGGCTCGTGCAGAAGAAGAAGGACCAGGAGCACTTTTTCAATCAGTTCATACTTATTCTTAAAAAGAGGGACAAAGAAAACAGGATAAGGCTACGGAAAATGAGATAAAAGCTGCTGAAACTGGCAACAAAGACACAGGTCCAGGCTGTGACTGCACTAAGGAACTCGCATGAAGGCTAAAGCGTTCAGGGTTAAACTTGGGACAGCTTGATGAAGAAGAGGAGATCCCTGAGGAAATGTTCCTCTAAGTGGAGTTTGGTGAACATATATTGAATTTGGGAAGGCTGTTCTGCAGGAATCAGAAGGATATTTCGTTCTCAAAGAATTAATGTTTCATATTGAAGCTCTCTTTTGTACAACATCCAGAGTTTGATGCATTTCTAATTGCCATGATATGTCAATCCGTTAATTGTTTTAATTATGCAAATTACTTGTAATATACACAAATTATGAATCCAATGCAGATTTATAATTAAGCAGAAGCAGATGCCATCCATAACTATCTCAAGATATTTCCATCATTTAGGGGAATCATCTAAAGCAATCTTTTGGCAACTTTACGCATTACCCTAAAGTGTTTGGAGGTGCAGTTGTATGCAGGAATCCATTACCCGGTGTTCATACGTCTCTGTCCGGTTCTCTGAGTAGTAGTAATAAGATATTAATTGTTAACCTTAGTGAAGAGTGTGGAAATCTCGGCATATGTTCCATAGGAAAACTCCTAAGTTTCAGAACTAGCTTTCAACTTACCGCGGATAGTGCTTTTGGGCACACGGGTGGTAGGAGCATTTCACTGTCAGCAGTCCAAAAAGAAATTAATTTGTAAAACCCTCACAGTACCAGTTATGTTGCTGTATGTGAAAAGTCTGCATGAGATTTTTCTCATCATATTTGTATACATAAATATTTAACTTTTTTAATTAATAAATATTTTAAGCCAATTTTCAGGGGGGTTTAAGTTTCTGAACTGTTGGGAATGTTGGGTGAGAGATCGCAGGTCTGATGGGTTTTACTTGAGAGAGAGAAAAGCAGGGAGAGTTCCCACCACTCATGATTTGTGTGCTAATTCCACTACTATCAGTTGGAATTTGGAGCATGCTGAGAGCGAAATAGTTGCTCTGGCTGTGAAGGTAGGATACCATGGCTAGAGTAACTGAGCACAGCAGTAAATCCCTTCCTTTATGCTGCATGAAAGACACACTCTCCTCTGTGGTCATGATCATTTTCTCATTTGACCTGATTTTTAAGTTATTACCCAATAGATTTGTAGATTTCTATTTTCTAAGTAAGCTGTTGATATTTTCCCCAGCTGATGGCAATTTTTCTTTAGCCTTGCACTGCATATTTTTTTATAATCAAGGAAATAAAGCATATTTTCTAATCCTTTGGAAAAATGAACTCAGAATAATTCAAAAAAGAGTATTTAATGTAAGATATGTATAATCATAGAATGGTTTGGGTTGGAAAGGACCTTCAAAGGTCATCTAGCCCAAACCCCTGCTATGAGCAGGGACAACTTCATCTAGATCAGGTTGCCCAGAACCACATCCAGCCTGGTCTTGAGTGTCTGCAGAGATGCCACATATAGAATCACAGATTGGTTTAAGTTGGAAAGCACCTTAAGATCATCCAGTTCCAACCCCCTGCCACGGGCAGGGACACCGCACGCTACACCATGGGCTCTGTCCAACCTGGCCTTGAGCACTGCCAGGGATGGGGCAGCCACAGCTTCTCTGGGCACCCTGTGCCAGCGCCTCGGCACCCTCACAGTAAAAAAAAAAACCCTTCCTTATATTTAACCTGAACTTCCCCTGTTTAAACATATTACGCCTTCTCCTATCACTACAGTATAGACCACATCCCTGGACAACCTGTTCCAGTATGAAGTATGTAGAGTTTCTAACTTCCACGTGAAAAAAGAAATCATTTATTTCTATGAGAGCAAGATCTGACTGAAGCTGCTGGTGGTTTGGGTCAGGAAACGTGTTGCTGTGTTGGCATTATTGGGTTTAAGAGATGCTGCCCATTTTCACAAGTGAGGGTGATGCTTCGGGACTGAGCGAGCTGGAATGCGAGCTGGTAGATGCCGTTTGGTTTTAATGGCTTGCAAGACGTGCTAGCTACTTACAGGTTTATTTCACAATTATTTTGACATCTCTGGAGGAGCCTGGTTTGCTCCCACCCCTGTGCAACTCGGGAGTCCTGCAGGAATGATGTAGAGACAAATGCTGTTCACTTCAAGTGTGGTAGGACCAGCAGCAGTGACCTGGGAAAAAGACATGGGTTGAGTGGGCTGAGGACAGATTTCAAAGGGGCTTTCAGAAGGTTTTGAAGGTTTTCCTTTTGAAGAAAGAGTAAGCTGCAGCAAACCAATGAGACGAGGCTTTTATGACTACAGCGTTTCTGTTTCAGTGGCTTGTAGCCCTTATGTTGTTTTCTGGTTTAACTGTATGTGTGTATCTGGACCTTCTACTGCCATCCCCTATTTTAAATATGAATAAAATGGGATATTAATATTTTGAGGATTCTCCTTGATTTTGGCATTTCCTAACAATGTCAGAAATCCTCATCACAATGTAAATATGATAGTGAAGGGATAATGCCCCATCCCTGGCAGTGCTCAAGGCCAGGTTGGACACAGGGGCTTGGAGCAAGCTGCTCTAGTGGAAGGGGTCCCTGCCCATGGCAGGGGTTGGAACTGGGTGAGCTTTAAGGTCCCTTCCAACACAAACCAAGCTGGGATTCTACAACTGCTTTTCATTATCAGGATTCTCCTCAGACCTGGCAGAGCATATGGCCACAAATGTGTCACCATCACACATTAATGACATATATTGAGTGCTAAGACATTATAGCTAAGTCCAGGGGAGATCACCTGTGGAGTCATACCCAACACCTGCATGTCTACCTGCCACCTTTGGAGGTAGCATCAATCCCCCCAGCTCAGGTGCAAAGCACACACAGAGCTTTGAACTTCCTCAGGGATCTCTGGAAAGCACTAGGCTCCATGAAATGCTCAGATTTGGTGATTTTTCTCAGGAAATACAGTTTTTCCTGAGTCAGTTATTTCTTGTCTGCAATATATCTGAATTTTCACATGCTGGGTTGCACACTTCAGTATGGCTAAGTCAAGCTACATCCAGGATGGACAAACAGTGCTGCCTACCCTTGATCATTGGGAAGAGCATGTTGACAATAGTTTTGTGTGGAGCTCGTCTGTGTGAGGTGCTGTGGTGGCACCCCCATCAGTTGTGAACACCAAGGAGGAAAGGAGATGCTCATGTAAGAGAAGACTGAAGAAAAACCTTAAACCCCTCCGCCTTTGTTTGGCTGGTCTGGAAAGGGAGATCATGATCTGAACAGGGGGAGATGATTTTTACCAAACCTGAGCAACTCCGCAAGAATAAATCAGAGGACACTGATTTCATGTGTTAATTTTCAGGACTCTCTTTTTCCCTTCTAAACCGAGGACACTCTTCCTTTTGTCTGGGTAACCAAGAGGAAAATCTAATTATTCCTGACTCGAGCAACCCTTTGCAGTTTTTTCTGGCATGGTTTGAAGAGAGCAGCACCCGGGTGGATTGTGAATAAATTGTTCAAATTAATGTTACAAATTTTGTTCACCTTCGGCGTTCCAGGAATCCCGTGTTTCCTAATACCTGGCACATTAAAACAAGTGTAATCCATCTTTTAAGTCCTGGGCTCACTGGGATAACTGGGCATGGGTGGGTTGATGAGGGGGATTCATTTATCCCAGGTCACTGCGCTGATGCAGGGGTGGGAGACAGCTGGGGTCATGCTCCTTCCCATCTTCAATGCAGGTTTTCTGACCCTGGTCTTTTCATAACAGCAAATATCAATATCCAGAAGGAGTCTTAATTTGTATGGAATTCATTCATAGACTCACAAAACTGTGTTGGAAGGGACCTCAAAGCTCCCCCAGCTCCAACCCCTGCCACGGGCAGGGACCCCTTCCACTAGAGCAGCTTGCTCCAAGCCCCTGTGTCCAACCTGGCCTTGAACACTGCCAGGGATGGGGCAGCCACAGCTTCTCTGGGCACCCTGTGCCAGCGCCTCAGCACCCTCACAGGGAAGAGCTTCTGCCTAAGAGCTCATCTCAGTCTCCCCTCGGGCAGGTTAAAGCCATTCCCCTTGGCCTGTCCCTACATCCCTTGTCCCAAGCCCCTCTCCAGCTTTCCTGCAGCCCCTTCAGGCACTGGAGCTGCTCTCAGGTCTCCCCTTCAGGAGCCTTCTCTTCTCCAGGCTGCCCCAGCCCAGCTCTCTCAGCCTGGCTCCAGAGCAGAGCTGCTCCAGTTCTCATCTTGTGGGCTCAGGTGCGTCCAAGCTGCCCTACACTTGTCACAGCCCCAGCTCAGAGTTGCCTGGGCAGGAGGAGATAACTTGGGGGTTCTGGTGTGGGGGTGCTGGGCCCATTTCTCCCGTGGAGCAGTGATGGTTTGGCTGTTGGAAGTAGAGAAAGGTGAATTTTTACTGGATTTTTGAAAATGAGCAAAAGAAAAGGTGTTGGAGGGGGTGCAGATTTGTGAGGTTTTCCTTTTTTTATGTAAAATTGTTTAGAAAACAAATATTCTGTAATGACTCTAAGTGGTCCTAAAGGAGCCAATAAAAGTGGGTAATGACATTGAAATTTGCTATTTCTGCGGGGGAAATAAAGTGGAAACAGAATCTTCAACAAGATTTGTAATAACTATAATCTGTCTTTGTTGTGAGAGGATTAAAACCTTTGCTATGTTTTAAAGTACCAAGAAAATGAAATGCCAGCAGCAGCAAAGTCCAAGCCCACCAGAGCAACAGGGGACAGAACTAGAAATGAGTTTGGGAATACATGGAGCAGGAATGAACTAACACACATTCAGAAGGAAGCTGCTGGTGTTGCTGAATTTCTTAGGATATTGGATTTCTTAGGACCAGAAAATCTTTTCTCAAAATGAAAATATTTTGATCCTGTAGCATTTGTTCAGCACTGTATTTGTATTTCAGTAAACCAGATCCTGGTTTGCTTTGTTAAAGTAATCATGGAAATTAAACTTGGCATATAGGGGGGATCACAACAAACTGCACTGCCCTGTTCCTTTAAGCCGTTCCCTGTGTTCAGTAGCCTCAGCTGTGGATAATCCCACCTGATGGGGATTGGGCTATTTTCATTCTCTAAACCTGCAGAAACAGGTTTCAGAGATCTCAGGTGATTCATTCCTTAGTTTAAATGCTCTTAGGGGGAAAGCTTTTCCTTTTCTAGTGTGAGTTTCTTCTGTTGCAGTTGAAGTCCATTATGGCTTGACACATATGGACATAGGAAGCAATGTATATACTTTATATTTTGCCTGGAAACCTAATATATTTGAAGTAGTTGGCTCTTTTGTCTGACCAATACCCAGTCTTGGCAATAGGATAAGGAAAGGGCTAGAGTAATGCCCATGGAGCTGCTCCATGCAAGGGCTAGATATGCATAGTGCCTGATGTCTGCTCATGTGGTGATGATCAAGGTACTGGGTTGCTTGGTGGAGTCTCCAGTCGATCTGGATCTTCTTTTGGTTGCTCTGTGATTTTCTGTCTGTGATGGATTTGGTGTTTTGCTCAGGTAAGTGCCTTGGGGGGGTTGTATATCTGCTCTGTCTCAAGCTGGAAAAGCAAAGCACTCTGAAGGATGTGATGGTTTCCAGTTTAACCAATAGCATAGAGAGAACAACCCTGAAACCTCAAAAAATCCCAGAACAGGACATGCATAGATGATATGCTTGTAAATTGGTTAGGTCATTGATACTGAGCTGCACACAGGGTACATGCCCAGACAGAGCTCTGGGTTTGCCTCCCTTGTGAACAAGGAAGTTGTAATTTAAAGCTAAATGGAGGTGAAATGGACTGTCAAAAGCTTGAGCTGGTTGCATATCAGCTTCACATGCTGATAGAATACTAATAATTA